AACCCCTTCCACAAATCCCCTCCTTTTCCCCCCTTATAAAGACTCCTGTCCCAATACAAAACCACTGCCCCCTTCTATAAAACCCCTGCAGCCCCACACACACATTTACAGGCAGACAGTCACACACTCAGTTACAGACAGACAGTCACACACTCAGTTACAGGCATACAGTCACACACAGTTACAGGCAGACAGTCACACATGCAGTCACAGACAGTCATGCACACAGTTACAGGCAGACAGTCACATATACATTGACACACACACGTGACAGCAGAAGACAGTCACATATACATTGACACACACATGACAGCAGCAGACAGTCACATGCACACAGTCACAGACAGATATTCACACACGGTTTCAGGCAACATCAAACAGTCACAGGCAGACAGTCAGTTACAGGTAGTCACACACAGTCATAGCCAGACAGTTTTACACACACAGACATACACACACTCACAGTTACATGCAGACAGTTACACACACACACACACACACACAGTTACAGGCAGACAGTTACACACAGACAGTCTCAAACACACACACACAGTTACAGGCAGACAGTTACACACAGACAGTCTCACACACACACACACAGTTACAAGCAGACAGTTACACACAGACAGTCTCACACACACATACACACAGTTACAGGCAGACAGTTACACACAGACAGTCTCACACACACACACACACACACACACAGTTACAGGCAGACAGTTACACACAGACAGTCTCAAACACACACAGTTACAGGCAGACAGTTACACACAGACAGTCTCACACACACACACAAACACACAGTTATAGGCAGACAGTTACACACAGTCTTACACACACACACACACACAGTTACAGGCAGACAGTTACACACAGATAGTCTCACACACACACACACACAGTTACAGACAGACAGTTACACACAGACAGTCTCACACACACACACACACACAGTTAAAAGGCAGACAGTTGCACACAGACAGTCTCACACACACACACAGTTACAGGCAAACAGTTACACACAGACAGTCTCACACACACACACACACAGTTACAGGCAGACAGTTACACACAGACAGTCTCACACACACACACACACACAGAGTTACAGGCAGACAGTTTTACACACACACAGTTACACAGACACACAGTCTCTCACACACACACACACACACACACACACACTCTTACTTACAGACAGTGGGCTGGAGGAGGACTGGATTCCCTGAAGTCCTTCCCTGAAGCCTGTGGAGAAGCAGACATTCCATCTTGCTGCACCTCCTAACAGCAGCGGGTAAGGACCATATTAAGCCCCGTCCCCGCTGCCGGTTTGGCTCCGCCCCCGATTTTGCTTAGCTCCGCCCCCACCTTACCTCCATGTGGCCAGTTTAGCTGCTCTTAACGTGTGTGAGCTGTTCTGGCTCACACAGCCCCCTCCAGCCCCCAGACCAGGGCCATGGCACCCCCCACCCAGTGGCAACCGGGGCGCACCCCCCCCCTTAGTACGCCACTGTATATATACACACACTTTTATTTCCTATATATGTATATTATAAAATAGTGAAAGCATTTTATACATATATAATGCATATATATGATTATATTAAAAGTGTATTTTGAGATATATGTGTATATATCTCAAAGTACACTTATAATGAACTCCTATATATGCATTATATATGTATAATGTATTATAAAATGCTTTCATTATGTTATAATATATCATACATATACAATACATGTACAATATATTTCTTTTATTATTATTTTTATTTTTTTACACTTTTAGCTGCGTGAGGGACTGCCTGACAGCTCTGACAGTCTCCCTGCAGGCAGCTTCATAGACTCCTATTGTGGCCATGTGATCATGGTGATCACATGGCCGTGGAGGGCCAAGGTGGCCTGCGCTGCTGCAGGTGGATTGCTGGGGTTTTGGGTAGTCCCTCCCTACCGGAATCGCCGGTCCAGGTAAGTAAAGGGGTCATTTTTGCTGCGGACATACCAGGTACGTCTGCGGTTCTTAATGACCGTTTTTTTGGGGGGGACCTAGTACGTCCGCAGTCTTTAAGGGGTTCATTTAATGTTGCCTTTTTTATTTCAAGACACACTCCAAGCACCATAACCACTACTCATTATGATGTCATAAGTACCCTGGCTACCTGTCATTGTAAGTAGTGAAATCATTTTACAATGTTTTGACTCCTTACCTGGGATCCGCCGGGTGCTACTCCCCGGCCTCACTGCCTTAGTCAGAGAGCCAAAGTTATTTTTATGAGCTAAGCTCGGCAGTAACGTGCTGTTGTAGTTATAGTGCTTGGAGTGTTTCTTTAAACACAGCTTTCAAATCTCTGAAGTAGCCATGGTGTTTGGAGTAGCCCTTGAAAGATTTATTTAAAGATGTTCAATTTCTTTACTAAAAATTATTGATGTACTCACCTATGCTCAAGCAGGGATAACATTTTCATTATTAACATTTTTAACTCGTACAGCACCAATATAAATCACAGTGCTTTCCATTTATACAGTGGACATATAGGTTTCATCAGATAATTTAAAGACAAAATAATAGTCACAGATAAAATAGGTGAAGAACAGTAAAGTATTTTTGAAGAACATTTGTCTTACTGCAAATATCTGTGAGAGTTATATAAAGTAAACATTTCCCCCAAACATTGTACAAATCTGCATAATATTTATACAAATATGTTAGTAATAATGGATTGTCTGCTGTACGTATTCTATTTAAGTTTATATTTTAGATACAAACAGAATGCCAAACACTGTTACATGACTTCTGCAGGATCATATCATTATAACCAGAACCATATTTATTCCTGAACAAAATCCACAAAAAGCAGTTAAAATATGTCTAATTATAATAGCGAGAATAAACTGCTCCTGTTTTGGATCCAAGCGACTAATGAATATTCCCTACGGCTTTTCTGGCAAATGAAAAACAAGGCAAATGGTTTTTCACACAAAGACAGTTGTGAAGCTTAAAATAATGATTATGTCTTGAATTCCAGACGATCAAAGAGGAGGTCATCTTCAATGGCAAGGTCAAGCAGACTGATAAACGGGAAGTCATGGCAATTTGTAGCTTTCCAAAAACACAATATTTCATTATTTCAAATATGTTAAGGTTATCAAAAGGTCTTATGGTATCAGGTACAGACTGCACCCCTTGGGAGTTATTAACAACATTCTATTGTGTTTAGGAAGTCAAAGAGCTTTTGAGAAGTAATTATTGCCTTAGGTGGTGATGACGGATGACCTACAGCCCTCTGGTATATCCAGGAGAATGTGTCAAATAGGTGCAGTCTATCCATGTAACGAGTGAATGGCTATTAGTGTATCTGTGTACCTAGTAGCTATCAACGTAGGTCACTGGTGAAAGGTTATAAGTATCTTTGTAACTATTAATGGTCTATATAACTAGTGGATAGATAACTGGTGGAAGTCTTCAAGTACCTATGGAACAAATAACTATATACATTACTAGCAAAGTCGATAGGCATCACTGTTTGTCTATGTAACAGAATGGAAGGTTAGAACTTATAACTATTTATATGACTAGTAGCAATCAGTAAAACTAGTGAACAATCATGGGTATCTCTATAGTACAAGTAAAACCATCTTCGTAAGAATTTACCAACACAGAAATGTAAATCCTATATTTTGTTTTGTTTTTGTTTGTTTTGCATTAGTGCAGACTGTTTTACTAACAGAATGTATGCATTTATTCTATCCTACAATTCCAACAGTGTATGTAATGTGTATTCTTAACTCTATAGTGCCCTAGTCACCATTTAGGTGAGTGGGCCCATGCTTCCAGGATTAAAAAAAATATTTAAACATATCTTTTTCACTCATAGTGGGGGTCTCCGGTGTGTAACTCTACTGCTTTGACGAAGTTAATTGAAATTGCTGATTTTAATCAATCCAAAGCCTTCCAATAGGAAAGCATTGGGAGGCTGGCGCACATACGCGAAAAAACGCTCTCTAAGACCATCTGTTGAAGTAGTGGAGTTTTACACCACTACATTGCTGAATCACCTTTAGTGGCGCCTTTATGAGGTTAATGAAAATATTGCCAGAACAATGTTTTAACTGTAGGTACATAGCACCAAGGTCATTTCATTGAGATCTCCTTGTACCTTTTACAAAGTACCCATATATTGGGGTACTGAGGCTTGAGTCTCATATTCAATTTACTTTCAGCCGTTTTTATTTGTGGCTTAGTAGCCACTACCTTAAATATTAGTAACCCAGTAAAAAAAAATAAAAAAAATAGGATTTGTTTCCTTGATTCTACAGATCTTGTGCATAAATAGTAACCATATTTTTTTTTCATTTCACAGAATGCTTATCAGATCCAAGGATCCTGAAATTTTTTATTATTATCCTTGTTGTCACTTTCTTCTTTGGACTTATTACTGTGCTTATAACTAGACAAATGTTTCTACAATGCCAAAATATAAAAGACACGGCCTCTTCCTCTGATTACAGGGGCGCCAGGGCTAAGAAGGTAACCAAAAATTAAAATAAGCTCCTTGAAGTAACATATGCATGTAATATTTTATAAACGGTCTTGAGAGCAAAAAAACATTTTTAAGATTATTTCTATTTTCTCCCCTAAGGATAAAGGAGTTTTGCACCGGGTTTATGGCAGAACAGTTTCCTATAACAGTGAAAAACCTGAAGATATTCACATTGGCATTCTAGGAGTACACGAACCATATAAGTACAAGTTTTAAAGAAAGTATCTAGCCCTAATGATTGTGAACACTCCAGACCAGCTGCCGTCATGTTGTCGTATACATTAATGTACACAAACACATTTTAGCAAACTGACATGTTTTATTAAAATGCATGTGGGTTTTGTTTTTGTTTTATTTCTTTTTTTAACTAAACAGTAAAATCTAATGACTAAGAGTTGTAAAGGTTTGGCCAAAAATAGCTGAGTTGAAAGCGTTCTTTAATTTTTTTTCAACTCTGTTATTTTGGTGTACATTTTGCAATTTGTTTGGTAGCTTACCACTAACTTACCAAAATATATTGTTTGGTTATTAAACTCCACTGTTACTGTTTGTAATAATGTAGCTGCTGTAATCAATCCAAGTGCGTAATACTACTGTTTGGTACCACTTTTGAATGTAGCACTTTATTTGTAGATTTTTTTTTGTGTGTGTGTATGTATATATATATATATACAGTTGCAAGAAAAAGTATGTGAACCCTTTGGAAGGATATGGATTTCTGCACAAATTGGTCAGAAAATGTGATCTGATCATCATCTAAGTCCCAACAATAGACAATCACAGTCTGCTTAAACTAATAACACACAAAGAATTAAATGTTGCGATATTTTTATTGAACACACCATGTAAATATTCTCAGTGCAGGTGGGAAAAGTATGTGAACCCTTGGATTTAATAACTGGTTGAACCTCCTTTGGCAGCAATAACTTCAACCAAATGTTTCCTGTAGTTGCAGATCAGACGTGCACAACGGTCAGGAGTAATTCTTGACCATTCCTCTTTACAGAACTGTTTCAGTTCAGCAATATTCTTGGGATGTCTGGTGTGAATCGCTTTCTTGAGGTCATGCCACAGCATCTCAATCGGGTTGAGGTCAGGACTCTGATTGGGCCACTTCAGAAGGCGTATTTTCTTCTGTTTAAGCCATTCTGTTGTTGATTTACTTCTATGCTTTGGGTCATTGTCCTGTTGCAACACCCATCTTCTGTTGAGCTTCAGCTGGTAGACAGATGGCCTTAAGTTCTCCTGCAAAATGTCTTGATGAACTTGGGAATTCATTTTTCCTTCGATGATAGCAATCCGTCCAGGCCCTGACGCAGCAAAGCAGCCCCAAACCATGATGCCCCCACCACCATACTTCACAGTTGGGATGAGGTTTTGATGTTGGTGTGCTGTGCCTTTTTTTCGCCACACATAGTGTTGTGTGTTTCTTCCAACAACTCAACTTTAGTTTCATCTGTCCACAGAATATTTTGCCAGTACTGCTGTGGAACATCCAGGTGGTCTTGTGCATATAAACTATAAACGTGCAGCAATGTTTTGTTTGGACAGCAGTGGCTTCCTCTGTGGTATCCTCCCATGAAATCCATTCTTGTTTAGTGTTTTACGTATTGTAGATTCGCTAACAGGGATGTTAGCATTTGCCAGTGACTTTTGTAAGTTTTTAGCTGACACTCTAGGATTCTTCTTCACCTCATTGAGCAGTCTGCGCTGTGCTCTTGCAGTCATCTTTACAGGACGGCCACTCCTAGGGAGAGTAGCAGCAGTGCTGAACTTTCTCCATTTATAGACAATTTGTCTTACCGTGGACTGATGAACAGCAAGGTTTTTGGAGATACTTTTATAACCCTTTCCAGCTTTATACAAGTCAACAATTCTTAATTGTACATCTTCTGAGAGCTCTTTTGTCGAGGCATCATTCACATCAGGCAATGCTTCTTGTGAAAAGCAAACCCAGAACTGGTGTGTGTTTTTTATAGGGCAGGGCAGCTGTAACCAACACCTCCAATCTCATCTCATTGATTGGACTCCAGTTGGCTGACATCTCACTCCAATTAGCTCTTGGAGATGTCATTAGTCTAGGGGTTCACATACTTTTTCCACCTGCACTGTGAATGTTTACATGGTGTGTTCAATAAAAACATGGCAACATTTCATTATTTGTGTGTTATTAGTTTAAGCAGACTGTGATTGTCTATTGTTGTGACTTAGATGATCATCAGATCACATTTTATGACCAATTTGTGCAGAAATCCATATCATTCCAAAGGGTTCACATACTTTTTCTTGCAACTGTAATTATGTATATATAATTTTATATATATCTGTATATATATATATATATATATGTACATACATTCACATATATGTGATGCACTGATAACACTTTAGTTAGAACTTCTGTGCACTCAAAGCTGAACTATGTTACATAAAAAATGGAAACATGTTCAATGTAAAAACCTCATACACAGGCCGTATGGAGTGCTTAAACTGGTAATGTTACCTGCCGTCGATGTTGAATCATTCTGAGGCATTGCTCATATTGTAATATATTGTATAAATATATGTTCTAATCATTCTTTTTTTGGTTAAGGACCAAATGATTGCGTTGTATATATTGTATGGTCCATACATTATTTATATACATTTTTGTTAATATTATTAACAGTTATTTGTTAGTAACACTGACATATTTCCTATTTACACAATGTATTGTAACAAATGTTCTAAATGTTTTTGTTTTATTTTTAATTGAGGTAAAATTTAAAAAAAAGTTTAAAAACTGCATAAGAAGAAAAAAAAATCTGTATATAAACTTTTAGGTCAGGCATGCTGTTGAATTTCGTATAGAACAAATAAATATATATATATATAAAGATATATATATATATATATATATACACACACACACATACATACATATATTGTGCCTGTACTGTTCAAACCCATTGAATCTTTTTTCTTTTTCTTTTATATAAAAGGGTGACACTATATTTGAGGATCAGGCACATTATAATTATATGTTTTGTGTTACAGTACTTTGCATCTATAACAACACTGCAGTTTTGGTCACTAAAGCATTGATCCCCAAAGCACCTTTTGTAGTGAATAAAATTATTTTTGTTCATGATCTGTATGTGCAGTTAAAAAAATCACATTGTAAGGTGGCAAATCATTTTAAAATTGTTTGACTTCTTACCAGATGTCTGCTGGGCGCTGCTCCTTGACTCCACTACGTGAGCCAGAGAGGCAAAATCTCTCTATCTGAGCTGAGCCTGGTGATGCACAGCTTAGCTCATTGACTTAGAGCAATCAGATGATTCTCAGCCATTGAGCTAGCCCTGCAGGCCTTAGCTTAGGTGATCTAACAGAAGTTCCTAAACAGGAACTTTTCCTGTCTGACAAGTATTGGAGGTAGGGAGCAGCGCAAAGTGGACTCCATGTAAGAAGACAAAAGGTTCTAAAATAATTTAACTACTTGCAATGGAATGAGGCACCAAGGAGATCCTGGCAATAAAACAACAACTAGAGTGCCCTACAGTGGTTATGGTACTTGGGGTATTCTTTTAATCTATACAGAACTGAGTTAGGTACATTAGTAAACTGTGTGTTTTAGGCTTTGCTATAAGGAAGATGTTCACATTGTTATTCCTAAAGCTTCCCCATCAGTGGATATTTTCAGAATACCTTACATGAATTTTTACAAGATTTAAAAATGCTCCCGTGTTCTCAAATGCTCTTTTTAGAACTCTAGAGCAACAGAGAAATAAAAACTGGAGCCTGATCAAAGAATTAATTCAGAGAAATTAGATATTGAATATGTTTTATACATGAAAATTAAATTAACTTAAAAACAGAGAAGCAATTTACTAAATTTTTCAGGCTAAAAAAAAAGTTGGCAATTTCTGGAGGTTTGAAATCCCACTGGGACCAAAAAAAACAGATTGTGATAACAGCAGAGTAGTCCATTTAATGATAAGAACAAACTGGCCCATTAGGAAACCCCAGACTAAGTTTGCTTATTTATTCTTCTGGGTTCTCAAGGCTTCTTGAATTCGTATGTTAGCCTTTCCTACTTCCATTGGATAACTATTCTATGTACTATTTCTGTAAAGTAGTATTTGGAATGGCAACTTGAATGTATAGTTCTGTTCGGTTTGGTTTGGCCATAGTGATTTCTTTTTTTTTGGTACTCTAGTGCAATTGATAATACATTAGTCTTCAATAATGTAGCAACAAGATTTTTGCTTTATCAACATTAGTGTTATGTTTCACAAATTTAATTTCCAAAAGCTACAGAATAGCTGTCTGCAGCCTTTTAAAGCCCTCCCCTTTTTCCCCAGCACAGAATTTCAGTGGCTTTCCAATCACAGACTTACAAATGCAGCTCAATGAGAAGGCTTTGCAAGGAATTTGTACCAGGCAATCACCTGCCTCTTGATTAGCTCCACTGATATACACAAACCAGGAATCTAAAGAACCGGTTGCCCGATTGACAGACATGGGTGTGTAACATGTTTAAATTATGAACCTTTTTTTTAAATCTGCATTGCTTTTTAAAATGAAAAAAGCTGACACACTGTAGACACATAAAGTACTTCAGCAAGCTAAAGTGCTTTTGGTGTTTGAATTGTTTATTTAAGCACAGGCACCATCAGTGTAATCAAATTCTGAGTAACATTCAATAAGTCATTAGTTTTGTTTTAAATGAAACAGGTTAAAGGGACACTATACTCACCAGAACAATTAAATTAAGCTGCAGTTGTTCTGGTGACTTGAGTCAGTTCCTTCAGGCTTTTTGCAGTAAACACAGTTTTTTTCAGAGAAAATGCAGTGTTTACATTACAGCCTAGGGATACCTCCACTGGTCACTCCTCAGATGGCTACTAGCCATGCTTCCTGAGGCTGACATTCAGTGTCTTCACCCTCTGCATGGAGAGACTGAATTTTTCTCATAGAGATGCATTGATTCAATGCATCTCTACGAAGAGATGCTGATGGGCCAACGCCCTGTTTGGCTTGTGCTGGCTGTGCCCCGGATCTGCCTCCTTGACAATCTCAAGCAATGGGAAAGCATTGCGATTGGCTGAGATCACCACTTCTGATGAAGTCAGCCAGGGAGGCAGCAGACTGGAATAAATGTATGATTTTACTATATTCAGGGGTGTTAGCTAGTGGTTCTTAACACAATAGGGTCAGGAATACGTGTTTGTGTTCCTCACCCTATAGTGCTCCTTTAACTAATCTTTGTACACACTTAGCATGTTTAAAGAAAGAGAGACATTATTGTATTTTAAATTGCAACGAAAAAGTATGCCTAGGAGCAGTGAATATGTAGAAAATGAAAAGCACTGAAATTGTTTGAAATGTTATCATTTCGCTGCATGACTCGGAAATGCCAGCTTTTATTGTACGGATAGTTGTGCCAGAAATTTAACTAAAAACACATTCTGCTAAGTTTCTTAAAAGACGATATTTATGCATTGCCTTCGCTCAGTAATTGTGGATTTCACTTGGGGAAAAATAATTGCAGATGTCTTTTGTCTTAGATAATGCCGTTTTCTTTGATTTAAGTTCTATAAAAGGGTCTTTCTATTATAAAATCACTGCACTGGCAATATCTTGACAGCACTTGTCCAAACTGAAAACTTATTGTGAACATAGAGTTTTCAATAACTATATTTATGTTTTGGACTTTAAAATGCACTCTTTTTTACACAGAAAAATTGATCAAAATAGTTGGATCTTCCAAATATTCCTGATATTGTAAGTGTTAGGTCTGGTGTTTATTCTGTGGACAGCCCTGAAACCTAAATAAATGTTCAGCAGTAACTCACCTTGACAGGTGTGTGCAAACTACCTACCCAATGATTTTAGATATAAAACAACAGTCTGTATTCGCCTGAATCTTGCACCACTGTTAGCTTACAACAATTATTTCTACACGTATTGTGCTGTTATCTGGTGCTATTATGTCATGTTGTGCTGTTATGTTAGGCATTTGTCAGTTCATATTCTGTGAGAGGAAACTGATCATGATCACTGTGAGATCCCAAATTATCTGTCATTTATATGCTGGGACATTGATAAACGGTCTTTGTGTCAAGCCTGTTCCCCTATTTTTGTAGTGATATCTGCAGAGGGCAGTATCATTGATGTTTAGAGGGTTGTAAACAGCAGAGCGCAGTAATAACCTACCTAACAAATGTCCCTATTTAGAAGAGGCAGTCCCCACTTTAAGCCTAAATCCATCTGTCCCTCTTTTCTTTCCTAATATCCCTCTTTTCTTTCCTAATATCCCTCTTTTATAGGAGCTCCATATTGTTGGTGTATCCGATTGTATAACAGAGCTCCAAAGCCATAATACTCACAGTAATGTGTCTTTAAACTACAATAACTGTGTTTAGAAATCAGTCTGTGTAAATAAGACATATTGTTAATGTTCTAAATTACATTTTAGTTGCATAAATTGTTATTAGTAAGTCGCCTAAAATTTCTCTGAGCAACCTGCCACTGGCCACATCCCCACTTCCACCACTAAAATTAAAGTGTCCCTCTTTGGAGCTATCAGTCTATCGATATACAACATGTTTTGTAAACTATGGCCCTTCATCATAGGCTAAAACATGCAGGTTGTCATTAATCATTGTAATTGGCATTATATGTGTGACTAATTATATTAGTCAATTTGTATGCATGACTTTTTAAATTTGTTGCAAAGCGCATCTCTGTGAGGCCCATACATCTGTGACAGATGTTTTCCTTCTGTCTTTTTAAACTACTTACTTTTTTCAAAACATGCATTTAAACAATTTTATATTTTGGTTCCATGTCGACGACTTGTTATGCCCGGTAACACCACATCAAAATAGATGAGTTCTATGAATGTTTTGTGTTCCTAGAACCCTAATATTTTGGCTCTGATTCACTTTCTCTTGCACACTGTGTTCTTTTTCCATGCTCTTTTTGCACCGTATCAATAAAATGTTTATCCTTGTGTCTTTCCTTTGGGCTTTCATTTTCTTCTTTCATTTACCCGTTCTTACTTCCTGTTGACTGTTCTGTACCAAATGAAATTATAAAAGCACTTTCCCAATACTCAATTTTAAAGTTTGTTAGGGCTTATTAAATTTAAATCAATGTTAATGCGGCACTATCCCTTTTCTGATCTTTTCATTCCCACTTGTATGATGGTGCCTGGACGGTAGTAGTTATGATAGCATACTTACTTTAAATTATCCTTCTGTGAAGTTGCCATCTGTCCTCCATTGTGGTTCTTCAGCTGCTGGCAGCCTTAGCTGACAAGATCTTCCACATGATAATCTCATGTTTAGGCAATACAGTGTCATAGATATCTATTGTATGTTCGTGCACAAAGATGACTATTCCCATTAGCTGTCCCAACCGATGTGACAGCAGAAGCTCCACCCATTGCCAAGGGTTGCCAAATATTGTCTGTCATGTGAGACAAAGTAAGCCCCTACCTTGTTTCATTTATATCTTTTAATTAAGTTGTTATTTCTTTGGAATTGCAACACAGTCAGCAAGAGCTTTTCATAAACAATCAATCTTTATGTAAAACTTAAAAGTGACACAGCCATGTTATTCACAACCTGCTGGCCGCAACAGGAGGTGGTGTATTTCTACAGGGCTTTAAGCTACTGTTAAGACATGTCTTTCCAACAATAAACCATCAGCACTGATTATAAAAAAGACAATAAATAAAATTATAAAATTGGAAGGGAAATGGGAACAGTAGAAGCAGTGGAAAAAATCAATGATATCAACAGCTATCAAGTGATAATAAGATGTTCTTATTTTACTTGATAATAATTGAAAATCCGTTTCCATACAAAATGTAGCAAGCCATTATTTGCACTGATCCAGAAAGATTTACCATGATATGGAGAGTATAAGTAAGATATATGTGTTATACTTAGCAGAGTTTTTCTTTCTTTTCAGTTTCAAAATAAATTTAAAAAAAATATTTGTCAGAAAAAAAGCTGGTTGGGCTGTTCAGAGGATTATAGTTCTTATGACATTTTGCATAACACTGCATTAAAAGTAGAATCCATGGGTACGTCCGAGGATCCTAATGTCACTTGACATGTTACATTTTTATTCGGGACTATGTACAAGGTGCAGGATGTTAACATCAAAGTCCTAAGATTTCAGCAAAAGAAATCCAATGGCATGAGATAAGCCATACTAATGAGCCAGATGTTGCAGGCATTGAAGCCCAGTGATTATCTGCTTTAGTTTTCACTATGGTTATTTAGAATTATCTAACCCTACATTACTGTGACTATTTAACTTGTAAATGATACCCTTATCACTAATAGCACTAGAGCCTCATCTAATCCATGCATGCATAGGTAGCCATTTTCTCATATTTTCTTATAATTTGCAAAGTGTCCTTCCGAATCAATCTGAAAGCATTATTTATGCAATTTACCATTTGTATGGATCTTTGCAAAAAAAGTGCCATGTATCAAAAATCAAAGTGTTCTGTTCTGAAAAGTGAGGAGACGATGTAAAAAGGGAATGTGCCTGCTGTTTTGCACGGGTTACTATGGTGATTTTTTACTTTAAGTACTTTGTGCCATTTTTAAGAACATGACCCTTTGATAAATCTTCACTCTAGTGTCCTTCTAATTCATGTCACATTATTTATCTATGGTAGATTTATTGTAGTGGAAATTATTGTAAATTATATTCAATTATTTTTGCAACTACTTCTTTAATTTGTATATTACATTAATAACACTGAGGTCTGTTTTAGAAACTGAAGTGCCTCTAGAGTTTTTCTGTTTTTCATTTTCATACCTATCTTTCGAAGTTCATAGTGCACTTCAGAAATCGTGATCTCATCTAAGACTTCCAGATCCAATAAGTGCAGTAGTCCTAGCGCCATATAAGTATGACTTTTGAAATCAAACCCAGCTACAACCAAACCCCAAGTGTTAATTACTCTACGTGAACACAAAATAACACTAACTCAAAACCAAAAACTGGGGAGTGCACTATTATTATTGTAAATAAAAACACAATACCAAAAAATGGACTATGCTTAACAATCTTCCATCTTCCATGTGCAAAGTACAAATAGAGCAGAGAATTCAAACATAATTGAGAAAACAAAATCAGACCCATTTGGTATCTGATGAGAATTTTGCTTAATCTTTACCTGTTAGAGCATATGTTTCCATACAGACACATAGAGCGATATCCTCAGGATCAACTAATCTCTTGATTAGGCTAGATTTATATCCCATGTTCTTCTTGACGCAATACATGTTATGCCATTTAAAGGTTAAGCGGGGCAGAGACATCTGTATAAAACGTATTGGACGGCAGGTCTCACTTTATCTGTGTAGCCAAAAGATTAAAAAATTAGCAGGAAAATAATGTGTGCTTGCTAGGGGCCCAGGCAATATATCCTGCAAAAATCACTTAAGGACTGGGTAGAAGTATGTCTTCATTCACCGTATGCCTGTTATATAGATTATGATCTTGTTTGACAAATGTAGATGTACATGCTCTTTCTTTTTTTTTGTTTTGTTTTGGAAGAAGATATTACTTCCCTTATCTACAGTTTTAAATTATTATTTTTTTCCAGTGAGAATTTAATGTACTGGGATTGAACTCTTGTGTTCAGCCTGGGTGTTGAATAGCGAGAGTGATAATAGTGTTTCTCTCACATACATCAACTTATTCTCAATTTGACCGTAGACAAGTAACAAAGCCGGTGTAACATGAAAAATTGAATTCCTCCAGGCTGACCAATAGTAATGTCTGGTCTGTGTTAAAAGACTTTCTCACAAAGTAGGGCATGCAGAAACCAAATCATTGCTAACCTTTTAGACCAACATTTCCTTATCACCTATCTCCATATCTTTTTAATCTATGTGTTATTATATAAAGAAAAACATTTTGATTGGAAATAATACCAAGTGTTTAAACCTGCACATCATCCGGCATCTTTGTCATGATTACAACATTCCTTTCTTAATTTATAAGCCAGCATGGATGTGAAATAGACAAAGATTATCAGTATGGTCAATGAGTTACAGACGTTCCTTTTAAGAGAGCAATAAAAAAATTATGACAAAGTGTTTACTATTCAAGAACTAATAGCATGTTGCTTGACTCAGTTGTTTTATTTGTGAAAAGCAGATGTCAAATTGTAGAGTATTACTCAATATCAAGTCCTAGATATGAATATATAATTAAAAGAGACTGTAACTTGGTTCCAAATTAAATCAGTATGTAGCCAATTAAGTGGAATGCCTCTTCGGAGTCCAGTTATTGTCCTTGGTTCATGTATGAAAGTACAAATATTGTAAAATTGGCAGATCAACTGTTCCACCTCCCATCAATATTAATTTACTCATTTCCAAACCTGACATAGACATTTATCTTTAATTTAACATACTAAGTCACTGTATACAAAAAATGATGTAGAAGATGTACTCATTCTACAAATTGTCAGGTTAAAACAATAAAATTATTTGGTTTTGGTCTTGGTACACACGATACCCTCAGTTTTATGATGTGTCCCTACTAGGCCGAGTAAACAATCAGGGAAATTTTTCAACAATTTGGGATAGGGTGAAAGATTACCCTATGGCTTTCAATAACTAGAATGTTGCATTCCTGGTTTCAGTACATTTGTAGGTCAGTACTAAGTTGTGAGGGTTATATCATACCATGAGACTGATGATGATTGTTGGCTCAGGAAACCTTGCACACACTTAGCCAAGAAATGAGTACATTTGACATGGACATTGTTTCCTGACAAAACTGCATTATTATCCTTAAGCAGTCGATTGTTGGCAAATTCTAGTTAAGTTAAAACAGCTATATTAAGAACCATCTCACCTGCCCCGGAAAATAAAGGAAATGCTTGGGCCACAAGAAGTCGTATGCATACAGTACGTTTTGCAACGGTGTCTGTTCTCATTTTTGCGTGTTGAAATATCTTACTTAAAATGGGAGAAACATAAGTTATTTCTTATTTTCTGCTTCAAGTAATCATGAAGAAAGTTGGACCGGGCATATATGAAAGGGTATCAAGCTTGAGAAAGGCTCTTCTGGGAGCCGGTGGTTTTCCACTATAAGCCGGCCTAAACACCAGCTATAATTGCTCGGTCCAACTTTCTTCATGATTATTGACATGTTACAATGGTCCACCCTGGTCTGTAGGCACCACGGATGGAGATTTTAGAGAGTGACACTACACTTTATGTATATTTCTGCTTCAAGTATCACTGCAACTTGAATCACTTCACAACAGTAATGCATAGTTTCATTTTATTTCAATTTAAGCTACTTTTAGTACATTTAGTTGGAATTACCATTTAAAGATCTGTAAATGCTTCCGTATGGCAGTGACCATTTTTAAATTGCATCAACATTTCAAATCCACCAGTGACATTTCCTGCTTGCAGAGAACATGTGATGTCACTAGCCAATTAAAATGTGACGTAACGTAGCTCACAGCTTTCCGTGGAGTAAAAAACAGGAAATTGTTGTTCGATCTGTCTAATGATGCTTTGTGCATTCTATATAAAAAGTGAGCTGGACATAATTTATTTGATATTTATAATAAAAACTGCTTAGAAGAAGATGATGATGGTGATGACAAATTATCAACATAAGATAGACAGTTTTTGGAATTCAACCGAATGACACATGCATATATATATGATGACAGAGCCACTGTAAGACAAAAAATATATTAAGTGTTACATGTGTTCTTTAACATGTTCAGTTTGCATGTCTCTCTAAATACGTACTTTTAACATTTAAAAAAATTTGTGCACACATTCAGCTAAAGATGATTTGCTCGCCTAAGAGTTATTTGAGTACTAAGCAAATGTTGCGGGAATTGAGTGATGTGTGTTTACTGATATTACCTAATGATGACAACCAGTTATGATTTATTACTGCACAAACTTGTAAATTAATTTTAAGTGAGCACAATGCATTTAACTGTGCCAAAGTGTGGTGGTCAAACACTGCCATAACATTTCTGTTAAACACAAATGTTACAATGGTCTGTTTTATTGAATTGTGCCATACTTAAATTGATCTGAATATAAAACTAATAGAGAGTCTCTGTTTGTAAAAGAAAACCTGGTCATTATTCACATTAATCCATAATGATAGCTTTACAGCTTTGTTATAATCTGATACATTTTGTTATACGATCTATTTTTTTACGTTCATTTTAATAGCATCATTAATCCATTGGAACACACATTGACAATTGCTGCAAATCAAGTGATTATTCTACAGATTGGGTTATTTTTTTAATAGACATTGCTGCAACAAACAATCATTATTTCTGCTTTTTATTGAAAGATATCAGTTTCAATCTTATTTGTGTGATGGTAGAGGGTAACTCAAGCAATACTCAAGTGTTAGTGAGTCGAAAACACAGAATAAAGTTCATGGTCGTCATTTAAAGATCATTCTAAAAATTACACAAATGACCTCTTACTAGTTTCAATAGTAGTTTCTTATTTATAAGAATGTTGTCCCAGAACTCTTATAGGTTCAACTATAGAGCCATGTTCTCAACCAGAATGCCTTACCTATGAAAAAATATCAGTGTCATAAAATCAAAAATGCCGCGCTTAATGAAAAACGTTTAATTTTGTTCAGCCCTAACCTTTACCTAAAAATACAATGTAATATTAAGTAGTCACCCTAGTTAGATTCTGACTCATGACACACATTCAAATTTTAACACTCTAGGGTTTTCACAGTGACATTTTATTTTATTTAGCTTTTTTATATAGTGTCATTCTTTCAAGTCTAGTTTCTGTCTTCCATTTAGCATAAAGTTCATGATCACACGTAAATTTCACAATCACCCTACAGGTTCACTTAATCAGCCAAAAGTTTTGTAGAAATACTGTAAAATGATATTATTATTTTTATTAATCATAGTATATTAACATTAATAATTGTGCTAAATGACTGCGTTATTCAATGTTTTCACTTTTACTAGTCTCATTTTCTATTTTTTTGTTATCTGGAATTTAAATGCGTTAATGTTTTATGAATTATTCTGCTTGTTAATTTAATGACTAAATGGTATGTACAATATTTATTAATGAACTGACACTGTAGAGCATAGTGTATATTTTTCTAATAAACGGATTGTTTTAAAAGACAAGGATCTGTGTTTTTTTGTTTGTTTTTTAAATTACCGTAGCTCATGTTTATCCACTAGATGGCAATACCTTACCTACATCGTTTAATTAAGCAATTAAAAGTAAATTAAAAATGAGCATGGGAGCGTGAAGAAAAACACAATATGTTAAGAATATAACAAGTATGTTATAATAGTATCAATTTCTACACAGGAGCTCAAACGTACATGGAAGAAAGCAGAGGGGTCAACCATGTAAACAAATTGTATAATAAAATAGATGTGTATTATTAAAGTTATATAGGATAGTAGAAGACACATATATGCATAAAAGTTTATATTACCAGCTTCTTGTGTTTTTTGTCAACATCTGATGTCTGGCTTTTAAAATGAACTTTCTCTGTTTAGATGCTATTTGTTATCTGTTTCTACCCTATGTGTTTTATTCAAGCAAGCTCTACTTTCTCATAGGCCTTCAATTCAAACTGCAATGTAAGATACAAGTGATAAAATATATATATCCTATTGTGATGGGATTCCAGTAGAGTAGAATTTATTATATTTCTTGTGCTTCCTCCTGCCCTGTCTACTCCCACAAGTGGTCAGGTCTATACGTAGTGTTACAGAGAGCACTATAGAAAGAAAGACAGCTGCTCATGTAATGGCTGTCTGGAAGTATGAACCCCTAGCCCACAGAGAGAATAATCGGGATGAGGAATGTTGAGAGAGCACGAAGTTAAGTTAGAATGATTACAAGATCTGTACTGGTTCATGGTTACTTGAGTGGTGTTGGCAGATTATGATTAGTGATGCATCTGGAATAATGTTATTTCAGAAGCATCAAAGGGGGGAATGTGATGGGATTCCAGCATGGTCAAAATCTCCACTTGGCATATGCTAATTAGTATCTGATTACAAACAGTTGGATGAGTCATCAGTGTACTGAGCATGTGTGGAAGTGGATAGTAAAATCCTTTGTCTTCAACAAGCCACGTTGTCTGCCATATAAGGTGATCCTGAATATCCTGTGTGCTGATTGGTCTGAGGAATATAGGAGGGGTTATACTGTATGGGAGGTGGATATGCTGTTAACAAAAGTCCTGTACACCAGGTATTTGTCCCTCAAATCTTTTGGAACAGGAGTTCATCTGAGACCCGATCGGTAACGTGAATAAAGGCCTCTTACTTCCTGAATACCTGTGTCCATCTCTCTGTGTTTGGCTTCTGCATGCTTACACTGTTACACTATACCAAGCCAGTGGCCTTTACAGAGCTTCCACTGTTCCCAACTCATGGAGATTTATTGGGAAACATTATGCACAGGCTAATGGCATTGCTAGGGTACTCCTTAGCCAAAGTCCCGTTCAATGGTATTTCTGAGGGCTACCTGTGTTACCTTGGTTCCATGTTAAGAGACAATGTCTCCTGAGTAAAATCTCTTTAAAATCTTTAAAAAGCACTGCCGTTTGGAATCGACCCATTTTTTATTCAAAGCATTTTATGAGAAAAAACAGCCAATCCAAAACAATAAAAGGTTAAAAAAATGCTCACTTCTTTTTTTTTTTTTTGCTGTGCAGGAGTTTACAATCAAGCTTGCCATACCATGGTAACAATAGCATGCACTTCAGGAACAGACATCATGGCATTTAATAAAATTGCACTTGGCAAGAGTATCAGGCTGGTCAAACATGTCTAACTGTTAAGCTAAAATCAAGACTCAAAGGACTAAATAGACATGTAGAGTGTAGGTAAACATGACGATTCAGAAAGCAGGTTATAAGCTATATATAGAGTGAAACATGACCTGCAGTTTTACTACATAACATGCTTGCTAGTAACTCAAATGAGTAGACCACTGGTAACGAAACTAAACCTTACGTTGCTGCATTACTTTAAAGAAAATCAACTATAACTAACAGAAATAATAGTAATAATAGCTTTGTTCAAGACATAAGATGGAAACCAAGGTGGCGTCCGCCTGTGTGGGTGACCACAGATTGCAGGTGAAGTCCTGAAGCCAGGATCAACCAATTCCCCTGAGTGGTAATAGCAAAGTGTTCCCCGGAAAGTCACCATGCATGCTTCAGTTTTCAATGATGGATGATTGCCATGTAAACAAGGTCCTACTAGACCAGGGGTGCCCAACTGGTAGATCCCTAGACGTTTTAAAACTACAGCTTCCATGATGCTTTGTCAGTCTATAGGCATTGTAAATGCATGCATAGTATCAAGGGTGTTGTAGTTCTTCAACATCTGCAGATCTAACTTCTGGGCATTCATGTCCTAGACTATTTCCTGCATAATGAGGGTATAACCTGAGGCATCAGAGCATATTATATACGCATTTTGGAGTGAAAGAATTACGAAAGTAAACAATAAAATATGATTTGTTTCGAGTTCATTGGCAGATTAGTTTAGATTTTGTGTTGTTGGGGCAGGACAGTTCTTATAGCAAGCATGCAAGTTGCTTGTTCAGAATGTACCTGTTTCTGTTCTGCATCCCCTTTCATTTTTGTATAAGATTGCATTGGATGATAAAACCTGTATTTTAATATGTACAATCAATACAGAGTTAAATAAAACAATGAACAAGATTTGAATTCTCTATAGATTTGGAGAAGCGAAGGAACTACAGGAACGCAGCAGATAAATGCCAATGTTCAGAAATGAAAATAGATACACTTTAGGAACAAAAATACAAGTATAACCTGTTTTGTAAATTTAATTAGTTCAGCTGAATGGGGAAATAAAAAGGACTTGGAACTAACTGTAGATAACAGACATGTTAGGGATAATGTAGGTAATGCCTATCAGCAGCCTTGCCTCATGTGCAATTCATTTATCCCTTATTCTCCCTTTGAATTAAGTTAATTAACAATGCAATAAACCTGTACAAATATCCATCTATTGTAACAACTTTTCAAAGTAGTATCAAGACTTCCAAATTTTAACTCTTTAAGGACTGAGGACGTACTAGGTACGTCCGACAAAAAACGGTCCTTAACCATTGCGGACGTACCCAGTACGTTCTCGCAGTCCATCTTACTTACCCAATCGCCGCCGTTCCCCCGCCGGCGATCGGTGTTCCTCCCTGTCTGGGGGGACTGTCCAGACAGCCCCCATCGGCAAATTTGGTACAATAAAAAAAAGATATGTTAGTAAATAAAAATCTAAATATATATGTATTTACACACACACATATATTATATCTATATAATATGTATATATATCTTATATATAACATCATACTAAGTGTATTTTTTATAAATATATACATATATTAATATAAAAATACACATGTATATATATAATATATATAATAACTATATATATTGTGTATATATATATTATAAAAAATAAATAATAATTAGTTAAAAATGTAAAAATAAAAACATTGTTTAAAAATTATATATATATATATATATATGTAATTTTATTCTAACTGTATTTTGATATTAATATATATATATTTATAGCAAAATACACTTAGAATGAAATTATATATATTTCTATGTATATATAAAGAAAGAAAGAAAGAAAAATGATACGAATATAGATCCATATACATAATTACATAAATATACACGTAGACTTCAAATATATAAATATGTATATATATATTCAAATTCAACGTGCATATTTATGCAGTATTTTTACATAATTAAATAATTTTATTGAGTGCAATTTGAGGGACCTGCCTGACAACCCAGGCCGAAAGTCCAGAGAATTTAATTTGCTAGCACGGTATTTAACCCTGTAACTTTCCATGACACTCTAAAACCTGTACATGGGGGTTTACTGTTTTACTCGGGTAACTTCGCTGAACACAAATATTAGTGTTTCAAAACAGTAAAACAAATCACAGCGATGATATTGTCAGTAAAATTGAAGTTTTGAGCATTTTTCACACACAAACGGCACTTTCACTGATGAAATTGTTGTGATATGTTTCACTATTTTGAAACACTAATATTTGTGTTCAGCGAAAAAAGAGGAAAATTACAGCTGAACACAAACACGGCAGAAATGTAAAAACAGCCCTTGTCCTTAACGGTAAGAAAATTGGTTTGTATACATCAACTGGTCCCTAAGGGGTTAAAGGTTGATGTATACAAACCAAACATAATGAAGTCCTTAGTTGTTACACGATGAAGACAGATCAATACAAAAAATTGAAATCTGTCCGTCTAAAGAAACTTACTTTATATTGAATATTTACTTCCCAAAGTCTCCCACTGACACATGTGTAAAAGAATTGGAGGGTGGGCAGTGAAAACATTAATGGGGTTATTCACTAAAGTCCAAATAGCCCGAATAAAGCAAAATCATTTGTCTGCGTATAGGGCCATTCAAACTGCAAAATCTGGACATTGTTCACGTTATTCAACTATTATTTTGCAATTCAGGCCACAAATATGCTTGAATTTGGTATGGATTTAAGCGGCACCTAATGCTGTTGGACAACTGAAAGCCAAAATACTAGGTCTTCCCCAGTGAATATTATAATTAGGGTCACCACTTGCCAGAGGTCAGGGGGAGGACACTAAGTTGTCCCCAATTCAATACGATAATCAGGTCCCCACCCTATGCCTGTGGACAGGGGCTGGTGGGGGGGACTCAAGGTTGCCTCCCATATACTATAATGGCAACTACTCAGTGACAATGGGTGGGAGCAGGAGCGACATAAGGATGTTTGACCACCCATTGTGAATAGTAAATAATCCTGTCTGAACTGGAGGTTGTCAATTCCATTGTGAAATAAATTTTGATTAGAGCATGTTTAGAATTGTGAGTATAACTGATCTAATGTGAACTTTGTGAGATTCTGTAGAGTATTAAATATAGAATTAACTAAAAAAAAATATGATGTAGCATTGGATGAGGAAATTGTGGAATTAATTATGTTTAATAGAATTTTTAACTCAATTTAAGAAACAGGACATTCTTGAGAAGATTAGACATTTTTTCTGTGGCATCCTGAATAAAGGTCAATAAATAGGCTGCTTAATCAGCTTTACA